CCCCCCCCCCCCCCCCAACACCCCACCATCACTGTGGCATACTGCGCATCCAGAGGGGCCTGCAGGGCCCAACCAGACGGAAAGTAAGGGCCCTCCAGGCCCTCTGTCAGTTCAGTCGAAAAGCCTGAAAGGGAGGGCCATTTTCAGGCCCTCATAAAGTCGACCTGCCCTGAAACTTAGGTGCCAGACTAGGGTTTAGTCGTGGGTCGTGGCTCTGGCATCTGCTCTCATTCTATGGTTTTTGCCCAATATTGCGGGTAGGTACATTTGACAGTTAGGACCTGCATGGGATAGAAGGAAGAAAGAGAGATACTTACCTGGTTGGGTGCTAGATCTTCCTACACCCCAACAGGAGATTCGAACTCTGTTGGAGCGATGCTAAGCGTGGCTGAGTGTAATTGTCAGCAGACACACCCACTTTCAAGTGATGCTTCTCCCCATACACATAGGTACGCATGTGCGCGGACCAGGCAACAGGCAAGTACAAGTGCTACGGACGTGCACCTGAGCGAGAGGAAAGGAGAGTTTCGTTCGCATTTGCAAACGTGGCGAGTATATGTTCTCATTGACAACTGAGTTCATTGCTGCTGTCTTCAGTTGACAACGCACCACTTCACCTGGTTCGTCTCGATTGTTGCTACCTAGTTTGCTGTTTTCCATAACAAACCATCATTGTTGAGCTTTGTTGTTGTGCGCTGCTGCATTGTTTTTGCTGTGTTTCGCCGACGTTTCGAATAGAGCACACAGGTGTGTTCAATTTGAATGTGATCGTTCTAGGCAACGCAACAACATTTGGGACAGAGGGAGCGACGCCATGGCTTTAGAGAGGTGATCAGGCTGCAAAGGGGGTTATTGCTGCGACTTGGAGACTCGTCAAAGGGTCATTGCTCAGCATTTTGGTGTAGGTCGGCTATCTACTTTGGGTTTTTCTTGGCCACCATTGCGGGGCCCTTAGGTGCATCCAAATATCAAGGCCCTCTTGTGCGAGTTGAGTTTGTCCCCTTCTCGTATCTCGAGAGTTTGACCTTCCTTCTTCTGTCCTTTTTACTCTCAGTCTAATCTTTGGTTTGGGAAGGAAGGCGGCAGGCGGGATTGGAACCCGTAGGACCGCATGAAGACTTTGTGGGGAGTCTACCCACCGATTGCGGGAACTCTGTCGGAACATAGGCGAGGTTCTGGCACCAGTAATTGTCAGGTAAACTTTCTCTACCTAGTGTGATCCCACTATACCCCTATTTGACTACTTCCTTCCAGTCTGTCTGATGTGTATGCGTGCATTTCCTTATGATTTTTGTGTTTTTTCATAACTGAATCAGATTAATTGAAGGAATGCAGGTGAATTTCAGTTTCATTTTGTTTTGACTGAAATCAGACAAAGGGATGAATTGGGGGAAGGTGGGAGGAAGACAATTTTGCATGCACTTGACCTGGTCAGTCAAAGGTTGGGCATTGATTCTAAGTTGAAAGGCCCAACGCTATGTTTTTTGCTTGTTTTCTGAAGGACCAGGCATTGTTTCTAAGCTGAATGACCTGGTTCTTGTCTTCATTTATGAGGGTTTGTCTGTATGACTTTGAGGCCATGCATTGTTTATAAGTTGATGAATGGCTTTGTCTATCTATTTCTTTTGGGGTTTCTGACTGAAGTTGGGCTGAATGGTCCAACTTCATGCTTTTGTGTGACTTGGGATAGACTGAATATTGTTTCGAATTTGAATGGTTCAATCTCTTGTTTTATTTTGACAGAGGATTTTCGTGAAGGGCTAAGCCGGACGCTAAGCACAATGAGTACAATTGGAAATTCTTTATCTATATTTGCATGTGAACAGGCAGTTGGACATTGTTTCTAAGATGAAAGGTTCAGCTTAAGCCATATCATTAAGAAGAGACATGCAGTTAAAAGTATAATTGAAAATAAACGAGGCAAAATGAGCATTGTTTCTGAGCTGAATGGCTCAGTCCCCTGCCCATATTTTGAAGACAAGTCAAAGAATTATTAAATCTTGGATATTTAAACATCTCAGGGCGACTAAGCAGGGTTTCTAAGTTGAATGGCTTAGTCGCATGCCCAACGACGAGAGAAGTAGTTGTGCAACCTGTTCGTATATAACTAAGGCAAAGGGTTGGGCATTGTTTCTAAGATCAATGGCCTAAGTCAATGCACTATGTAAGCAGGGGTAAAAGGTTAATCACCTAAGGGTTCAACCAACTACTTGTATGAGGAAATTAACTTGGGACTTTGGTGAGAGTACTTACCTATTGTGGTATGGACTTGCATGTAGTTGAGCTCTACTTGCTTGAGTCGTAGCTTTGATAGGTAGTTGCTTTAGATTCTTGCCATGTGCTGGAGCTATAGGAGTTGGTTCAATTTCTGCATTTTATGGGATAAGTTTATTTTCTCATACTTAGCTTTGTATAAATTTTGGAAAGTCACTTTTGATAAGGAAAGTGTTGCGCAAATTATTGCAAATCCAAGAAGTTCGTCAAATTTTGCCTTTGCGAATTTCAAGTTTTTGTCCGAGTTCATATCTGGCTTAGTAAAAATTTGGGAAACCCACTTTTCTAGTGGAGGTGCTACCCAAATTTTTACTAAATCATGGAGTTAGACAAAATTTTACCTTGTGAAGTCAAGCTTATTTTGAGTTTTATATTTAGCTTTGTAAATTATGGAAAAGCGCCTTCTCTAGAGGGAGTGTTGCTGAAAGTTTCTTAGCTTTAAGGAGCTAGGTTATATTTTGATAAGAAAAACCTTGACAATCTACCCTGTACCGGGGAGATGTTGCCGAAATTTTCCTTATTTTTTTAACATTCGTTTAAGTGTAGACTCAGTCTTAGGAGAAATTTGAGTCAGATGTGATATGGGGATTTATTCTCCATACACTTATAGTTTAGTTTTGGAAACTAGGTTATGCTGTGTTCAGGTCCTTTTCGACCATTTTGACTCGAAATCTGATTAGTTTCAAACCAATCCTACGAAGATCGTCTTCTGTTATTTTTTTTAATTACAGGTTGGTTGCCAATTCGTAGGTTAAGGACATAACTTTGCTTACACCTGTACCTCAACTTGATGTCTTAGCCCTACGAGTTTTAATATGTTTTTTTGAGGGTTTTAACCAAATTTATTTTAATGGCCATTATAAAAGACTGAGTTTATGAAAAGGCGAATAATGACTAGAGCTTGAGTATGTAAGGCGTGGTGTGAGCTACAGGGAACAATAAAGTTGTCCACATTGGTTTATGGCAATGTAGTTTTCGTGTGTGCACATGTCTTATGTAGGTTAGTCTTTGGAGCTTGATGTACGAGCCTTACCTTGGAGGCAGTGAGAATGACAACCATACGTCGCACGATCTACATACCTGATGGGCTTATCTCGAGGTTTTATGTGGGTATTGAGTGTTTATTTACTGATTGACTTTGTCCTTTTTATTATTTTGCTTATAGTTGGACGTTCAGGTCCGTGGCGGCTGTCAAAGTCAAACCCCTTTACCTGTTTCCACACCCTGGATGATGGAGCCTTATTCCTAGGGTCGAAGGTGTTTAACCGCCACAAAGGGCCAAGGCCCGCCTACCACTCGTCTGCACAGGGTGCAGAAGAGGGTAGAACTCGCAATCGCCTTTGCGATTGTCTAGCGTCGAGAGCTTAACCCCTCACGACGCGTGTCAACTGACATTTGAGTATCGAAAACGACCCTCAAGACCATTGAGGGCCACATGATTATGGGTACTACATTGTACGCCATTCTTGTGACTGCTTGCGTGATCATGCATGACTAGTCTGTATGACAAAGTCTACGACGTTACAACATTTATTCATAGTCTCGTGCGTACCTTTGTTTTTTAGTTGTTAAAAAGGTTGTGGGTCGGATACAAAAAGGGACTAAGCGCGATTTCTTTGTGAAACTTTGGCGAGGTGTATCGCGTGGTTAGATGGACCGTCCTAGTCGACCGGCGTTGAACCGCGCTTGGGACATCAGCCCCCATAGTGTCGGTTCGTGCGGGGGTCTGATTAAGGCATTCGACAACACGTACCTCCTATGTTACAGCGTACGAGAAACGCCCTCGGCTGGGCCACGTTTGTGATTGCAACTGAGCAGCTTCCGCACGTGGTTCAGTAGCTCGGCGGGGATACGCCTACCCAAGGGTGGTGACAGGCCCTTGGGCATAGGTAAGGTGTGCCTTGCGTGGCTCCTATCCTATTATAGGGGTTTGCGAGAGGTTCGGCTGGCGCACTCGGCCAGAGCGGCGAAACTGCGAAGACGTCCTGCAAAATCCTGTGTGACGCGGC